AAAAAAAAAAAAAAAAAAAAAAAAAAAAAAAAAAAAAAAAAAAAAAAAAAAAAAAAAAAAAAAAAAAAAAAAAAAAAAAAAAAAAAAAAAAAAAAAAAAAAAAAAAAAAAAAAAAAAAAAAAAAAAAAAAAAAAAAAAAAAAAAAAAAAAAAAAAAAAAAAAAAAAAAAAAAAAAAAAAAAAAAAAAAAAAAAAAAAAAAAAAAAAAAAAAAAAAAAAAAAAAAAAAAAAAAAAAAAAAAAAAAAAAAAAAAAAAAAAAAAAAAAAAAAAAAAAAAAAAAAAAAAAAAAAAAAAAAAAAAAAAAAAAAAAAAAAAAAAAAAAAAAAAAAAAAAAAAAAAAAAAAAAAAAAAAAAAAAAAAAAAAAAAAAAAAAAAAAAAAAAAAAAAAAAAAAAAAAAAAAAAAAAAAAAAAAAAAAAAAAAAAAAAAAAAAAAAAAAAAAAAAAAAAAAAAAAAAAAAAAAAAAAAAAAAAAAAAAAAAAAAAAAAAAAAAAAAAAAAAAAAAAAAAAAAAAAAAAAAAAAAAAAAAAAAAAAAAAAAAAAAAAAAAAAAAAAAAAAAAAAAAAAAAAAAAAAAAAAAAAAAAAAAAAAAAAAAAATATTATTGTTATTTTTACACTCATCATTATAATAATTACTATTATTATCATTATTATTATCATAATAATGATTATTATTATAATTATTATTATCATCATTATTATTATCATCAACATTTTTATTAGAGATGGAAAGAGAAGAGAAGAGTTAGGATTCTTTTATTCAAATATTCATCTTTATTGTAAAATACATCATCCAAACCATTCACACACATTCTAAATCAGTTGTATTGATCGCATAAGCTCCACATAAAAAGATTTTTGTTATTTATATGAACGTTTGTTGGCATTTTCCATTAGAGATTTGAACGTAAGAATATTAATTTATTATCAGGATACAAATATTCATAAATATTCATCTGCTACTGTGATATACTTCCTAAAGGTTCTCATAACTTGTCAAGAGTATTCAAAGCATATGATCCAGTGTTATGATTTAAACATTCCTCAAAATATTTTCTAATAAAAAATAAACAAGTACTTGTTCTTATTATCCACCATTCCCATGCTTTCATTCGAAATACGTAGTGTTCACTAGAGTTTCAAGTTGTTTTTCGTTCACCCGTTCGTTTAGTTCACCCATGAATTAATAAACAGTTTATCACTGACCCGGGTTTAAAATCAGCCATGTGATTTATTCGGTATTCTCGATGTTAACAACTATACGGCCTCCCCATGCAAATTATTTTCCGTTTCCGAAAAACTGACACCTCTCTCTTGACGGAAATATTCCTGTATCTTCTTAGTTTTAGATCAAGACCCAGAACAGACTAGATGCATTCCTGTGATATCGCCTCTGACGCGATAAGTATAGGGATGTAGGTCAATGTAACTTGTTTTTCCCACTAAATAGTTCTGCTAAGATAAACGACCTATGCTGAACACATACATTTAGCGGTATTCCCATCAAAATCGGTAAAGTTCATCGGTTCAGAAGCCAGTTGCACTCCAGCTAGGCAGCAGCTGAAGTGAACGGAATTAAACTACAACCTTTGTTTTCGTTCAGTCCTCTCTAGTGTTATGTAGAGCACACGAGTGTGTTCTACGTCTCCTTATCATTCCATCCTCCTCATACAGAGATAAGGAGTTATTGTGCTTCACCTTATATAAAGATCTTACCGATTATCACAAAAAAAAAAAAAATAATAAATAAAAAAAATAAATGCTTCGTTTATCCACCCTTGGCTTCTCCTTTTCAAACTGTTCTAGCTTAAGGGTGTGGATTAATCTTGGATCGTTGAGAACAGTCCCTAAAAAAGACGTTAAGGAGAAAGGCAATTTGTTCTTTGCCGCTCCTCTGGTGATCAGGTGGTAATTAGCACATTTGCCTCTTGAAAATTTTGACTTAATAGGAATTATCAGATCGACATATGATTAACTTACGGAGTCTAATAGGGTCGAATAAATAGTTTGATTTCGTGTTTGTGGCGAGCGATCAGCCTTGCGTTCCGCTGGGAAATAAGGAATACTTTTGTACACTACGAAAAATACGGAACGATCTGCTTAGCGCACCACCCCTCGGAAGCCACACACACACACACACTCAATCAGTCTTGCCCTACAGACCGTTTCGTTAAAATTGTGCCGCTGCGAAATGCCCAACGGAGCGCAGGGCAGCTGGAGTTCTAAGGGTCATACAAAACAAAGCGCCACGTGTAAGAAAAGGAGAAATATGCGTTATTTTATTTTATTTAGGATTAACAATTCTCGAGAAAGATAATAATTTTGGAAACAAAGGCTGTCATGAGAAGTTGGAGGGAAAGTCATACGAAAAACTGAAGAAATATTTTTAGTAGGCCTACATAGTATCTGAACTGTATAAATGCATACGCATAGACACAATTACTGCAGCTTTGGGAATCACATCTAAAATACATTGATTCAAATAACAAAAGGTGTCGTC